CCGCCCAGCCCCTGGAACTCCTGCTCTGCCCACCTGGGCGTGGCAGGTAGCGCCTTCCCTGGCCGCTGCTTTCAAGACGCAAGTCATCCACCACTTCCGCGGCGCGCTTTGCCCGCTCCGCGCCAGGCGCGCCAGTGCTGTTCACTACTTCGGTGAAGGCTTCCAATGGAAGCCCCAATGCCATGGCGCATGGGGCCTCTTCCTTCGCCGCCGCCCGAAGCTCAATCGCGTGCCCCTGGTCGGACAAATCCCACGCTGTGGCTCAGCCCCGCCCCCGAGAAACGCCGTCGACGGCAGCTCCCAGCGCGAAGCCTGACCTCGGACCGACTCGACTGAGCTCTGTTCCCACCCGCGGGCGCGGAAGGTGGATTCGCGACGCGAGCGTCGTCGAGCCTGCCATGTCCCACGCTACTCAGGACGCCACGCATGTTGGAAACTTCCCGTCGCTCACATTCGCTACGACTCGCGTCTCGGTCGCCGCTTCTTCCGGACAGCGCTGGCCACCTGGGCCCAAGGCCTGCCCCGCCCCGACGTCGCGGTGGCGCCCTTTCCGGCCTGGCCCCGCTCGGCCTGAAGAGCCGCCCTCTTGCGCGGAGCTCTGCGTCTGCGCAAAAGCCCCGGGCCAAGCGCCCGGCGCCGCTGCCGCGCGCGCTGAGTTTGCCGCCGCGTCCGCGGCCGCCGGCGCTTCCGGCGCTTCTCCTCTTCCTCGCCCTTCCATTTCTCGACTCCTCCACCGCGGCCGTCGGCGCTCCCGGCGTCTCGCGGGCTGCATCTTCCTCTTCTGGGGGATTTAGCCTCGCCTTTACTGCAGACTCAGAACCTCTTCGGTCGAGGGCGGGGTCCGCGCCGAACGCCCTCTTCCCGCCCTCGTCGCAAATATTTCCGGCGCTGGCTGATTTGCACTCTCGGATGGCTGCGTCGTTCACGGGGTAGTCCTTCGCGAACTCTTTCGGGGCAGCCGCGATGGCTGCCCCGGCGTCGAAATCCATCTCGCCGCGCTCCATCTTCGCGCCGCTGCTGCGCAGCCCCCCCCCCCCCTTCCACTCGTGCATCTTTGCGGCGCCGGGGCGCGGGCGACGCCGCCCCCCGTCTATCTTCCCGCCCCGCGATGAAGACCCCGAAGGGGGCGGCGATACAAGGAGGTGACGGCGATGAAGACGATGGCTTTTGCCTGTCTCTTCTCGTAGTTCTCGCGAAGGTCCCCCGGCGAGCCCTTCGCCCATCGCGGCGGCTTCCGCCGCCTGCCGCGCGCCCTGCCCCAGGCGACGCTCGGCGCCCTGTTCGTCTACAGACTGGTCGCTGCAGCTGTCGGCGTCGCCTGTGCGCTGGTGATGCGACAACAGACAATCTTCGCGATTGCGCGCGCCGGCGAATCTCTGTGCTCGGCAGGGCTTGGCAGCAGTTTGCTCCGCAAGCTGCCCGCGGTCGTGGGTCTGCCAAGCCCGTGGCCCAGCCCGCCGAACAGCAACAGACTGCCTTTCCACCTTCCTCTGGGCCTTTTCGTAAAAGATATTACCGGCCTCGTCCGGGCCCTCCTGCAGGCGAGACTGAAGCCTCCCAGAGAGCGGCCTGTAGAGCTTGATGTCCTCTATCACCGGCACAACGCCCAACGCGCCCACCTATAGGTCAGCGGCGCTGTCCGCCGCGAGGTCGCCGCCGTGCGCGCATCTTCCCTTCGATGACTGGTGCGATCACCTCGCCGCCCATGCCGTCGAACGCCTGGTCGGTCGCCAGTTGCCCCTCCTCCTCCCTAGCCGCGGTAGGGGCGAACTTCGCGTGCCACTCGTCCTCGCGATTCTTCCTCTCGGCTGCGCGCTTCGGCGCCCCGCAATTCCTGTCCTTGGCAGCGCGCCTGCGCTTCTGCTCGTGGCACCGCGCCTTGTGGTTAGACATGCCTTTTTTTCCGCTGGCCTCGCGATGACTGTTTTCGCGGTGGCTCTGATCCAGTCTCAGGTCCACAATGCTCTCAGACCGTCCTCGCCGCTGCTGGGTGTCTGCTGTCGCCGTGGCCTTCCCGTAGCGCGCTTCTCCTCGACTTCGACCCTTTGCTTCAGGAGCTCCTGGACCTCGTCCTCGTCTTCGGTCATCTCTATGGCCTCGCTGATCGAACGGATCCTGTCCGAATCTATCCTCTGGATAATGAACTCCATGTCGCGATGCATCCAGAATGAGCTCGCCGCAGAGATGCTTCTCTGCAATCCGGCGCCAGCGCCGCCGCCTGGCCCCTGGCCCTCTTCCTGCCGACTCGCGACGGACAGAACACCTGGCGCGGGTCCCTCGGGTCGCCAGCGCGGCGCGCTTCCAGCGGGCTCAGGGAGGAATAGCTTTGGTCGGCTGCCTCCTCCTCGGGTTCCTCCTTCTCCTCCTCCTCCTCCTCCTCCTCCTCCTCCACAATTACTCAATATGAATACTACTCTCCCTCTTCCCCTGATGATGGTTTGAAAGTGTCCGATTCCCCCCCCCGCGTACTGTTTTTTACACACAGGTTTCCCCGGAGTTGGGTTTTCGGCTGCATTTGTTTTCGCCGGCATCATTTTCGGGCCCCGCTCGTTCCGAATCGTGCTCCCGCTGCAACGCTGGCCTCATTTCCGTGCTTCCGCTCGTTCCGAATCGTGCTCCCGCTGCAGCGCTGGCCTCATTTCCGCGCTTCCGCTCGTTTCGACTCGTGCTCCCGTTGCAGCGCTGGCGTCATTTTCCGTGCCATGCCACGGCGTGCGATGCAATGCTTGATTGATACTACGCTTTGCGGTGCTCTTCTACGCCATGCCACGCCGTGCTCTACAATGCATCGCGTACCTTTCGGGATCATTGTCCTGCTCGACATCCGACTGTGCGAGTAGAGAGGGGATCTGCGCCATGGTAAGGGATGGGAGGGAGGGGTAGGATGTCAGATATGACGCGAGCGCACCTAGCCTGTCTTCCCCCCCTCCTCCTCCTCCTCCTCCAAGGAGCGAACGGGCTTGCCGCCCTTGGGGCCATTGCTGCTTCTGCCTTTGCCGCCACCCTTGGGGCCCTTCGGCCCTGCCTTGGGCCTGGCGGCAGCGCCCGGCAGGCGCGCGCCCCTGCCGGGGCGCCAACAGTCCTTTTTCTTGCGGCCTGGGTTTCCGCGCAGTTGCCCTGGAAGCTCGTCTGGGGGGGCCTCCTGTCGTTCTTGCCCTTGCCGCCACCTTTGGGCCCTTTCGGCCCTCTTGCGGGCTCGCCCTGATCGGAGACTCCGGCATCCATGTCTGGATTCATGTTGCAGCTGTGGTCCACTACTACCTTGAGCCTCTTCCCTCTGCGGGCTTCGAAGTACGTGCGAATCATCTCCATGGCCGTGGCGAGCGCGTCCAAACGTTCGCTTTTGACAGCAGATATTTCTCGAGCTCTTTTGGCACCGAAGCTTCCACAACATATATTTTGAGACCATCAGGAATGGTACTCTGGTCGCCGTTCCTATCCGTTCGCCGCTCGTACACGCGGACGCTGTCGGTCCACTTCTCTATTGCCCCGGGAAGCTCATCCAACGTAACCCTGGCCAGATGGAGCACGTGTTTCAGGCGAGTCGTCTTCCTGCCGCCGGTGGATGGGCCGAAGCGCCTGTCCAGGCGCATCCAGGCCTCGAGCCCATTGCCTCGAACACAAATGCTCACTATACCAGGCGGTTCCTTTTCGCATAGTTGATGGAAAATCATGTACATTTGAACATCCTTGTTCCGCAAATCTGGGACAAATGCGGGATCATGTGTGCTCTTGGGCCCATTCCAATACAGCCTCCAAATCAGGAGACGTACTAGAGAAGACAATCGACTTTCACTTTCCAGGATAAGAACTTCTCTTACGTTCCATCGAGGCCCACAGGCATACCTATGCCCTTGGGCCCGTGGTGTCCACAAGCTGGACTCTTTCCCTGCTCTTCAGGTTCTGGAAACGCTATGCTTGTTGGGCCGCCAGCTGGCCAAGTGACTCCTGCTGCACCTGAATAAACTGATGAACGAGCACCCGCTCTCGCGCTTGCGAGTCCTGTCGGTGCTGCTGAAGCTGACCACTCAACTCCTGCAGCTGTTGCTGTAACTGTTGCGCCGCTTGCTCCATGGCTGGCAATGCTACCGATTGGGCGCCACCTCGCTCAGCAAAACCATGATGGGAACCTTTCTGCTAAGCCCCAAATGGCTATGGTGCGCGCGTGTGCGAATCTGCTGACACCATTCGGGGCAGCAGAATAAGACAAATGCAGTTCATAGTGCAATACACAAGGGTTCTCATAACATCCGTCCTACTGGCACGTCTGGACGTGCGAGAAGGATTTGATTGCAAGGAGAAGAGACGGACAAGGAGAAGGAAGGGGAGGGAGGAGGAAGGGCGAGAGGGGAGGAGGACATATGTGAAGGGGGCAATGGAACTGGGCTGCTTTTCCTCCTCCGCCTCCTCCTTCTTCCTCTTCCTCCTCCTCCTCCAACTCCTCCTCTCCTGACGCCTCTAGGGGTAATGATGCATATCCTAAGCTACCAAGACAATCCGCATCCTTGTTCTCCTCATCCTGCTTCTCGTCATCTACAAAGGCCCTTCGCTTCGTCTACCCTCTCCGTGCCCGCCAGAGGGGGGGGAGGGGCGAGGGAGGGAGGGTGGGCACGGGCAGGGAGGATGCGACGACGGGGCAGAGGCGACGATGGGGAGGGAGGTGTTGGTGAGAGGCGAGAGGTTATGCTCCTCCAGGAGCTCGCAGAGAGCGAGTGTCCCTCCAGTCAATCACTGGTAACGTCTGCACCTCCAAGATCTCACAAAGGGACTGAATTCCTGCAAGAGCTCGCATCATGCCTCCCAGCATTGTTGGTCTGAAGACTGCCGCTGGTCAGCGGTAATCGATTCAGCCTTGGGACTGGCAGGCCCAAAAGCAACACTCCAAAGCAATTGCGGGGAAGAAGCGGAGGAGGATGAGGAGGAGGAGGAGAAAGAGGAGGAGGAGGAGGGATGAGGAAGATACAGGAGACCGTGACGATTTCGAAGATGGCGGGGGCCGCCTGTCCACACTGGCCTGGCTCTCGAACAGGGCGAAACCAAACCCACGGTGGGTCAAGGCCGACGCGGTCTGGTGCGCCTGCGCCGCGGTGGGGGGGGCGCAGTCGACAAGGCGAACAACACAACAACTCACCCCTTTTCGACACACGCACACCCAACCGCAAACCCCACTGAACCCTTGACCCCAGCCTTAGGAGGAGGTGTTCGACGCGGGCCGTTTTCGTGGCGGGCCAGAGGGTACGAGACCCGTCCCCGAGATGCCGAAACTCAAGGCAAACGCTTGTCCTGCTTTCCCCAGGAGGTTTGGGTCCTTTTCTTCCTGTTTCTCCTCCTTCTCGCCTCCGTCGTCGCCCCTTTCCTCCTCGTCCTCCATCCCCGCGCGTGCCGGGGGGGGGCGGGGCCTGCGAGGGGAACGAGGGCGGCGAACAAACGACGACGTCCTCCTCCCCACCCCCTGCCCCCCCCCCCCCCTCCCCCCTCCCCTCCCCCGTCCCCTCCCCCTTCCCCCTTCCCCCTTCCCCTCCCCCGCCTCCTCCTCCCTCCTCCCGTTCCCACTCGACTCCCCCCTCCTCCTCCCCCTCATCCCTCTGCCTTGCCAGTAAATCCTTGTCGTCACACCGCCAGGCGCGTCGGTAGTGCAAACCGTGCGGTTCGCCTGCGATTACCCTGTCAACTTACGACTCTGAAAGGTGGAAATGTGGAAACACGGATGGAGTGCTCCCTGGCGAGCAAGATCTTCGCGCGGGGCGCGGCAAGTTGGGCGAGATGACGGTCTGCGAATTTACACCCACTGGGTGGGGCTGTAGGTGGAGCTTCGAGAAGTTCCGATCGTCGCGAGGGGTGTGCAGAGCTTGGCCGGGTGATCATATGTAGGTCCCCGGCCGAGGCCGTAGTTGGAGCTCTCTTTGTCGGACGCGACCTTCGTGAGGCGCTTATCTTTTGCAAGGTGACGCCATGCGATTTCTCCCACTGGCGTCACGGCTGCTGCATAGCAACACCCCAAGTCATTGGAGGCATGACTATTGTGCATCATGCCTCCAACGCTCGAGCCGCTGTACGGCGCCGCCGCTAGACCTTACGCTAGGGATCGCGCGCTTTTCTCGCACAGGCTCTTGCGCGAGAAGAGAGGAGCAGCCCGCGCGAGCAACAACAAGAGACAGACGGTCCAAGAAGCCCAGGGGTTCCAGACTTCGCGCAGGAGCAATACATTAGTGAGGGCAGATCTCACTGCGTCAACAAAGGGGGGCGTCCCATAACGTGCTGACAATACCAATGTCCACAATCAAGATGTCAAGCACATACAGCAAACACATTGCACGTGCATATATGTGTGATAGTGTCTCCTGCGCTCGAGCCCAAACCAGCGTCGGTGGCGTCGATTTACCCCACCCCCATACCTCTATCCCGCTAGCTACATGTCACCATCTACTCCCGCATGTCCGACATTTCCTTTGCACTCTAGCCTCTTTGTTTGTTTTGCACCCTGCGCCCTGCTGCATGATCTGTTGTTCCACTACTACCATCGGCTATGTGATCTCAATAGCCTATTTATTGATTTGCTTGTCTGCTCTCTCTCTCTCTCTCTTTCTTTCGCTCTACCCCTGTACTCTTTCTACTCTCTCTCTCTGTCTCTGTCTCTCTCTGTGTATATGTGTATTCCCTCTCTTGCTCCTCTCTCTCTCTGCTCTAGGGCCCCTGATGTGTGCTGGTGTTTGTGCTTTCTACTCTGTGATCCCGGGGCCCCCACAATAATCGGCGTGACATGCGAACCAATACCCGGAATCGGGAACCCGGGAACGTGACCGCCCACCGGCATCGAAATCACACGTTTGCCAGAACCCTTGCGCCACTGGGAACCCGCAGCACGGAACCGCGAACCCAAAAACCCGAGGACCCGGTTCCATGGGGCGTTCTTCTCTCAATGGGGGCGCCCCCAGTAGTGAGCAAGAAATGCTTGTAGGGACTGGTGGGGGGGGGTGGGGGGGACGTGGGCCGAGATGGCGTATTGCAGGATCGCTGACGCATTTTATGTTGTCCTCCTCCTCCTCCTCCTCCTCCTCCTCCTCCTCCTCCTCCTCCTCCTCCTCCTCCTCCTCCTCCCCCCCCCCCTCCCGCTCCCGCTCCCCCTCTCCCTCCCCCCTCCTCCTCCTCCCCCCTCCCCCCCCCTCCCTCCTCCCCTCCTCCCCTCCTCCTCCTCCTCCTCCTCCTCCTCCTCCTCCTCCTCCTCCTCCTCCTCCTCCTCCTCCTCCTCCTCCTCCCCCTCCTCCCCCTCGTCCCCCTCACGAATCGGAACACCTTTCCAGCCGTGGCGACGAAGGCGCCCCAGGAGGCCCATAAGAGGAGGCAGCTGCCCAGAATCTCGATCCTCCAAAGCCTCCGTCTTCTGCTGCTTCTCCGCCGCTCCCCCTCGATGCCCCGCACGCCCCGACGCCTGACTGTAGCGGCGCTTTTGCAGCCAGGCCCTCTCGACGCGCCCGATCTGGGAGAGGACCTGGGCGA